ATTCCCGGCGAATGCCTCACCTTCGGTCGAATTAGACCAGGGCAAGAGGATGAGGGCGGCGAGAACACCCAGGAGCTGAGACGGGCGGGCGAGCAGCGGCCCAAGCCGAGACATCCGAAAAATACTCAATTCGGTTCAGAGCCGGACGACGTCCGGACCTTCGGATGTTCCCATCATGCGATTCTTGCAGATTCCGCGTCATTTTTCTCGCGTCTGTTCGGGCTTGAGTCGTCTAGCAAGCTTCAGTTTCCCGTCCACCCCTCCAAAATCATATTATAGATCATGAAATTGATGAGCTCCCGGAACCGGTGCGGCTGACTTTATTGTTTCGAGCACAGACGCACCGCTATCCCTCACTTTTCGAAGTACCTGAGGCGTCCGAGGGCCCGCTGCCCCCTGATATGAAATTCATGAGAAACGCAATCACGAATATCACAAACCATCTGATAAAATGGAAGAATTTAACATCTGACGACACCGGAAAATTCGTGGAAGGCACGACAATGTCTTTCATTCCCTATCGACGTGTCTCAAGTCTCGATATGAGAACCAATAGTACCTGCATCTATTCATAAGAGCGTGTGGCGTAACGGACATGCGGGGGAAAGTCTCACGAGAAAACCTGAAAAAAACGGCCCAGGGAATAGTGCACTTCAGCTTACGATCACACGAACGATTCTATGCTGTGTATGCGAAGTTCATGATTCACGGCAGGCACTTGCGTTTGTATCACTGAATCGCTGGAGTCCAGAAATTCTCCCGACGACGTTCATAACTTCCTTTGTTGCCCGAACTTCAATGAAAATCTGTCGACCTTTGAGGCCGTTTTCCACAGTATGCATCCACGAAAATTCCGCAATATGATCCGATGCCGATTATCCGGGAACTCTGTTGATGTTCGTTGCACTCCAAGTATGAGGGAACTCCGGATTCCATCGTGTTGACCCAACTCAGCTCCGTCATGAATACGTTTGGCTTGGGCACGACCCATCGCCTGCCGTCAGGCTGTCCAGAGAGCTCGACAAATCTTATTTCGCTAAAAACTTCGGGTAAAGCTACATCAACCACAACGATTTGGCCCGATTCTTCGCTCGATATTCCCGCAGCTCACGTTGCCTCCAAACCCTCTCGGCGGGAGCTTGTGATACCTGTTTGTTTACCCAAACGACCACGGTTCCGCGGCTCTTTCAGCAAGTAGCTGCCTCCGACCCGGACCGACGGACGCAGACGGCAGCACATGCTAGAATCGATGGGAATGAAGCGGGCAGAATAGATTCAATAGAACCCCGATAGAATGCCTGATCAGATGTCTCCATGGACCCAGAGACCAAGTCGAGGGATAGGGCGATCCGGCGGTCTACTCATTAGTTTGCGAGTATGTGAGTCGGTTCCCTTGTGCTGCTGCTGCTGGCGGGGCTACTATCCCTTGCAGATCGTCCTCCGATCCCTCATCCTTCTTGTCCTCGCAGAACCGACACAGCATTTATGGACTCGAAGCCGGTCAACTGGCTGGCTGGCTGGCCGGCCCGCCTGCCTGCGTTGGTGGTGAGGTGATCAGCTTACCGAATGTTTCTCTGATTCACTCGGTTCTGGCCCCCGGAGAGGCATTCAAGAAGCCAGCGACCCACCAACTGAGTCGCAAATTGCATCACCTTGTTGGCAGTCCTATTTGCGGATGCGCACCAATGCTCGTCTGCTCCCCTTTCGGGTGTTTTTTTTCTCCTTCTAGCAGCTAGCTCTCTCATCCAGCCTCCTGTCCTAGCGGTTGGCCGTTCTCTCATTCGTCTGTTCGTTTGTGCGTCTACGTGTGCGCGTACGTATGTATGTGTATCTCAACGCCAGACGACTTCGCGTCGTCGTCCATTGTGCCATAATGAATCGTTATTATGGCTGACTGCGTCCAGCAGTCAGCCACCGCCGTCGCTCGTCTTCTCGAATGCTCGCTCTCGAGATAAGCACCCTCTTATCAGAGCTTCACCAGGGCTAGTACAATGAGGAAAGGCTAGCGTAGGGCGTCGCAGCTGGACCTGACGGGCGAGCCGCGGTCGGGAATCGTAAGGCAGCTGTTGAGCAACTGCTCACCTGGCTCTTGCATATCACCAGCGCTGTCGTATCTCCTGCGAATATCCCTGGCGTGAAGTGATAGGATCCGGAGGAGGTACGGATGTCGCCTCCGATCGGAACGGTCAACGGGAGAGTTCAGCCATCCTGGACAAAAATCGTCTCGGTATTACCGACACTTGACGTGACTCCTCGCCTGTCGCCGGAGAAGACAAACCGGCGCCGCCGCTTCCCACGGCGTCGTCTGCTCACCCACAAGCCATGCATACTAATTCCGTGTTGTCACAAGAGAAGACGTGTGCCGACACGTAATGAGTTGATCGCTGCCTACTACTGGAGTTTGTCGACTGACCATCCCATCACCCGCTTCCCCGACCGCGCATGAATGTGGACCATGCTCTGGTCTCGAATTCTTCGAAGCTCTCGGCAGTCCAGCTTCCGCGAACGAGTTGATCTCGCCGATTTTCTCGCTGTGGAATTAGAAAAACGCGGACTCGTAGAAATCTTCACCGGACTCAAATTGCATAGCGGCCCGAGACCAATCTGCCCTTCCTCGTGTCCCGGAATTAGAGCCGGAGATACAAGCGAATGGCATGGTCCGACGAATCCATCCGAGAGATTATCGACATAAGCTTGCCGCATCGTATCATACGGGAAATCATCTTCCTGAGCGCCCGATCCAGGTCTACGGCAATATACACGATAGAGTTCGATTGCACTCAACCTCGTTTAGTGACCTAACGATACTTTATTTCTCATTGTCAGCCGTGAACCCGATCATGTTCGACTTCTGAGGAGTACATTCCATCCTCAGTCTGTTTTGGAGCTCTCTCTTACGTCCTCTTCGTGAACTCCTTTCAAGCTCAATTTACGAGGAACTACCAACGGGCACGCCGGAGTGAGTTTATATATCACACTACTTGCGGAAAAAGTATGTCCCAAGGAGCGAGGCAGCCGGCCAGCCAGCCAGCCTGGAATTCTGCACGGCGACTCGTTCGCCCAGCGAATTGCCGCGTTTATTGCGCGCGCATGGGAGCCGCGGAAAATCCAGGACATCTTGAGCGGGAGAACTTTTTATGGGCGCGGGTAGGCTGGCGTCGTAACTCTTTGACTAATAAGAATGAATTTCTAATTAGAAGCGCCATCGGTCTCGAACGGACCATTACTGGGGCGGGCGACCGACCGACCGACCGACCGACAGCTTATCCGCATCCGTCGAGAAGGTTTCCTATTTTTAGCGAGCCGACAATCGCCCCGAGGCGAACTCTTGAGTCTGTTCTGGTATATCCTCTCGCTCTATGTACAGAGGACGCGGTCGAGTGAGAGGACCACTCACTCGGACCGTCTGCGGCGGTTGCCTTGGGAAACGATCAGGATCCGGTTGGCGAGTATTAATTCTACAGCGCTATTCTTTGCTCCTGCGGATGCGAGGCAGGCAGAGAGAGGTGAGTGCGGTCTGGGTCGGGATCGCGCGCAGGACCCTCGTCTGATGGCTGTAGAGACAAACAGTAAATGACACGACAGACCTCGACGACATAGAGCTTCACATCAAAGGATCAACGAAATGAGAGCGTCGCGGCGTTAGACCAGTCAATCGAACAGCTGATGTGCGTAGATCCGATGAATGGGGAATACCGACGAACGATGAATAATACCGCGCGGCAGACCTTCCGAAACGACAGGGCGTGCATCGTGAGAAGAGCTTCCCTGTTTTAGATCCGAATCGAAATGGAATTGGGAGAGGATGACCGTCGGCGATAGGTATTGAACTCGGACGCGTCCACCATCAATGAACAATGATTCATGGTGCTGAGAAACTCCGATCGGAAAGACCCGATTGTGAGTTTGTATTTTCTACATGCCTCAACTTTGCCCTGCAGGATGATGAAACCTTGGCCTTCGTGTCGTACACGACCTCCTCAGAGAGGCGAACTCTGCGTAGTGATTCTGCAGAAGTTCCGGAGACCCGACTTCCGGGGAGCCGTAAGTTTCCTGTACCGAGAGAATCATACCGTTTGTCCCCTCATTATGCTTTATCCATCTCAAAACTCCCGATCACTCCCTACGGTCTCGAACGTATTATACTCTTCAATTTCGTGGGCCTTGGAAAGGAATTCTCATCGATCTATAGAGCATAAATCACGAAGGTTCCCGAACATGATCCGCCGCTTCCGCCAAGTTCCTACCTGAGTTTGAAGGTCGTTGCTGATATTCTTTCCATTGACCGATAATAATTGTATCAGAGTATTTCGGTAAGAATGTTTAAATTCGATCGGAAGTCCCCCTCGATGATCTTGACGTCCATGCTCCGGGGCTGGAAGATATTGGAGCACCGGCGCGAAGCCACTCCCGATTCATTGTATAGCGCATACGAGGTCATGAGTCCTGGCGGGCGTCGCGTCACTTAGATTCTCTTCGAGCGGCAGCTTCCCGGCAATGCTACGCCATCACTGAGAGCGACCAGAAGAGAGAACGGGCCGATCTCGATTTCCGCTGAACGCTCGCGAAGTTCCAATCATCATGGAATCGCGTCTCAACAGCGTCATCGTGAAAGAATTAGTCGCTGCTCCGGTCACGGTGAGTACTCCATGCTAATCAAAAGCAATGTCTGTTTATTTCCTAACTCCTTGCCCTCTGGATCACGCTCAATGCGAGGAAATGAAAGCACACGGAACCAAACATTCGACCTAGACATTTATTCGGGAACCCGACTTCACCGCCAGATTCCACCAAATGGATATATCAAACTCTGAAGATATTCGTTCAACGTCCGGCACCGAAGAAATCCTTCAGGTGCTCATCGTATCACGTTGCTCTTGTGGCATGGCTAACTAATGAATACGTGCGGTGATCCCGCTGATGGGGATCGAGTAAACCGACCAGTCCTACTTCGAGCGGACGAATCCGAGGCTGTCGGATCCGGCCATCTTCCATCGAAATCATCTTCGGAATAGTTTGGCGAGAAATGCACTTTTGTCAAACAGACGTTCTCTGAGGCTCTGAAGAAAACGGCTCCCTCCACCTCGAGCCCCGTCACTACTTTCGGTTCGATCCTTCGAGCCGAAAGCGTAACAGCTTTTCGTTCTGACAGGTTTGACTTTGGCGCCCCCAACCGGTACCAATTCGGCGCTCGCTGCTAAGGCACTTAAGTGATCACTGGAGGATAACTTCCGGGGGAAATCGCAGCTCGCTTCGGAGGGCAAATGCATCGTACACGCCAAGAAACCGGTGGTACTCGGATCGTCGCTCCTCGACACCATGCCCGTTGATGGAAAGTCCAGTCCATCCGAGCTCCAAAACGGGCGATTTATTCGGTGGTGCTCACTGAAAGAAGAGGGTGGCCATTGATAGAGAGAATGAATCTGGGTCGGGGACCGCACTCCACGCGACGGATCAGCGATCGTTCACCGTTGACGCAAATCCTCGAAGCGCAACATTTACGCTGACAGAGGCGGCGAACACCTTCGCGACTGGGACACGATCGATCAGACACTCGAAATACAGAGGGCACGTTCTACACAGACAATGAGCACTCGTGAGTGACGAAACAATCGAGCGCTCAAGTTGGGAAAAAAATGTCGCCATCCGGCCAGCAGCTACAAATCATCACACACGAATGCAGTGGGAAACGCAAACTCATTCCTGGCGCGGTGTGCACAGAAGGTGGCTGTATGATTGGAAGCGCGTGATTGAAAAAAGCCTGCGCGTAAATTCCTACGAAAGTTGTGTTTGGGAAGTGTGGACAGAGGAGTTGATTGGGTCTGAGGGTTGGAGGGGACGACGAGGACTGACAGGGCAGACATGGGGCAGAACCTCACCAGATGTTCGACGCCGAAGCCGATATTGGGACCGACGATCGAGGATTTTTTACTTTGAGGGAATGCTTTGATTGAATGTTTCGCTTTTTAGTCGATCGATCGCGGACTCTGCTGTTTCGGCCGGTCTGCTAATACGCTGGCTGCGTGGATTCTCAGATCGAGTAGCGAATCAATCGTAGGATAGATAGATGGATGGTTGGTTGGTTTCACGGATGGATGGATAGATGGATTGATCAGTGGTAGGTTGGATGTAGGTACTTTGTTGGAAGGGCTCCCGAAGGGTCTTCGAACGTCTCCCTACCTGGATGAGGCGCCGTGCTCGCTGTCAAGAGACCCTCTGCGACTAGGAACAGTGTCGATGTTGATAATGCATGGAATTATTTTTGGCAGATCCAACGTCATCGAAGTTCCCATGCTTCCCACAACGGGAGAGGCCCTGCAAAGGAGAATCACTTGTAAGTCAATTTAGGTCAGAATCTCTCCCTCCTGACCTTCATTCTCTCATGTTACCCCCTTGAGCTCATCCTTTCCCCGATCCCCGAGCTTCTCTCTTTCTCCTCCTGCTACAGTCAGCTTTTCCAAAAGTTCCTCGTCCGTTCCGGTGATGTGTTCTTTAGGTACGGAGTGCCTCCATCAGCATCTCCATTTCGCTTCACCCATGTTATCAGCATTTAGCACTCCGCATGGCTCACTAACTCAACACCGTTTAGGGGGACTCTCGGTGGCTTGTCGGCTTCGCTCGAAAATAGATGATTTTCACTGGCTGGATTCCTCTCAATTATTGTCTCTTCCGCGGGAGCATCTCCCGAGAAAACTTCCAACAGAACAAAGAACTGCTATCCTGGGCAGAGCGCTGGGAACCTTCATTTCTCGTCGACATCGAGAATCCCATTCAGAACCATCGAACTCGCCGCCGAGCTTCCCAAGGTCGGCGCGTTCCCTAATTGCGGCGAGTCAATATAGGATCCCGCGGCAGAGAATGGCGGGAAAATAGGAAAAAGTTTTGATTGAGTGACGGACGCGGCAGGTCCCCAGCCCTTGGCTCGAAAAGCCGGATCCGCTTACATTCAACATCGATTTCTCCCCCTTACCTGGGACTGTTCCGTCTTTCTTCCTGTAGTTCGGCTTGGGCGTGTCGTCGTTCATTGTTCAATCCGATGATGTCGGACACCGAAGGCAGGTCGTACTTTTTGCTGGCACGTATGAGCTGACGAATACTACCCTGTCTCGAAACGCTTTCGATCGCTGCCTGTATTGGGTCGAGAGAACGTTCAAGAATCAATTAGTATGCCGTAACTGTTGCCTACACGGGAGAGGGAGAGGCGTGTCCCCTCCCGAGGCCTCGAGTGCCCCAAACAGCGAATAATCTGCGTTTGCCACGAACTCCGCTCAGGAGAATCCGTTCAGCACAAATGAGCCTCGCCGTGACGAGCTCCCGCCTCTCGAAGCATTTGCGTTTCTGATTGCAGCCGCGTGGCTCAGTAATTATCGAGGTGGCGATTTGTGAGAGAGCGATTTCGAGATGGGTGAGCCTCGACTATGATTGGACGAAACATCTGACAAGTAAACATTCTTTTTTGAAAATGACAATCACCAGATTTGACATGCTTTTCTGAAAGTTTCCGACCCCCGAAGCAACCCCGAGTCGTTTTTCCCTGCTGTCCTGCATTTCATACCCCTTCCCTGCAGGCTCCGAAACCCGGAAAAAACACCATTTACATTGAAATCCGGGATATTTTTCTCGGATTTTGATGGAAATGTTTTTTCCCCAGGTTCCGAAGCCCGGAAAGACTCATTCCCATTGATATCCGAACAAAATATCCCGGATTTCGATGTAAATGGTGTTTTTTCCGGGTTTCGGAGCCTGCAGGGAAGGGGTATGAAGTGCAGGACAGCAGGGAAAAACGACTCGGGGTTGCTTCGGGGCTCGGAAACTTTCAGAAAAGCATGTCAAACCTGGTGATTGTCATTTTCAAAAAAGAATGTTTACTTGTCAGTGGGGGAGCTTTTGTGTGAAATGGGGGTGCGCAGAGAGTCACGTACATGGATGCCGAGCTTACTTCGTAGGTTTCCAACCTCGAGACAGTTTTTCCGGGTCTTTTGACGCCGATTCCTGTTCGACAAAAAACAGTCACTTCCGTTACACGAGATTTTCACCAATAGCCCCTCTAACGAGCGCAATGACGTAGTTCTACGTCAAAAACCCGATCCTATAATCATAGATGGAGTTAGGTATGAGATTTCTATTCTGAATAAATCATAGATAATAATTATAAATTGGAACAATGAATCTATCATCCATTTGCTTCATTGACTTCATCGCGCTCTTGCAATGAATCCCCTCGAGCACGTTGACGTGGTTCTACGCAACCCGCAGGTTTGGCATCAAGCTGAACCTGCACTGAATTTTTCTTCCGCCAAAAAGTTCCCGAGGTTCCTCGACGACAAACGAAGTCCCCGACGCAAGCATGCGACTTTTCCCCGATGAAATCATGCAAGCCATCCGATGGAAAGGAACCGGGAGAAAGTTATGAAGAATCTCATTTCGGAGCTCTGGGACCATTCGTCATCGGAAGATTCAAGCTCTAACTCCATCGTGCGCGACTTACGATCTGGATTTTCGATCAATTTAGCCGAGCCCCCAACCGAATCGGAGACCCGCTTATTGAACATTAGAACTGAGAGCAGATATTCCGAAGGTGAAGATTTCTCTACCTTCGCGGTGGGAGCTTGGGACTCCACGAAGTCTAGGCTCCTTGACTCGCTCCCGGAGCCTGCGTTTGGT